AGCGATGTCGCTCATTTGGTTAATGTAGACGATTCGATTGTCGAGCTGTGGAATATCGTATTCATTTCTTTGAACAGGTAGGTATTCGTGACGATTCTCAATGAAAAATGGCGTTGTTCGGCTTGGGAAGGGCATTTCGCACTTTCGTTAGTTTCTTTTGTTAGAACCTGCTAACTTACACGTCTTACCTTTGTGAGACCTGTAGACTTCGTCAAATGTAAGCGGAACTGGTGCTATTGCATAGCTTCACAGAAATTCACAGGGCCCCCAAGGGGCATTGGCAGTGACCGAATGAAACCAGGAAAATGCCCCTCCAAGCCAAACTTGCGCTTGAAAAAGCCTTGCATTCCTTTGTATTTGCAGGTATTGGAAAGTTTCATTTCAGAATTCCTAATGGTCGCCTTGAGCCTCTTCCCAGCAATCATATCGATACTGGTATGGGCTTGGAACGCCTAGCCTCAGTTATGCAAAATGTGCCTTCAAACTTCGACATTGATGTCTTCACACCCATTATGAAGCATATATCCGTGGTAAGTACCCTTATAGTCTGTGTTGCCTCTAATCTTATTGTGGGATACCCGAAACCTTCTTTTCCCCACGGATTTTCCGTATGCGCTACAGTGGGACCTGAACAATGCTCTGGCAGGTGGATATCACGGCACGTCGTGCGATGGGGATCCCAACGAGGGAGGGAAGGGGATCGTATTCGACTCTGGAAAAATGTTTGCGGTGGATGACTTTTCTCGATTCTCCTCTTTTCACGTGCGCTAGATGCACTATGCCCCTCCCCCTCATCGACACGAGAGCAGTTTTTTCGAGGTGTGGGTAGGGACCGGAACGTATTTAGGAAAATTGCTAGGGAAGTGTGGAAAACCAGGGAGGGTTGTGAAGGAACTCGTTTTATAGGAGGATTTTTCGTGGAGGAGGAGTTGATACCTTTACAAAATTTCTCCCAGCGGGCAGCACGTGCCCTGCTGAATACATCGCTGTCGTTCAGAAGGACTATTTAGTCAAAAGTCACCGAACTGATCTTGACAACTGATAGAAACTGGGCGAGAAGGTCTGTATGACCACCCCCCCCCCCTGCCTGCCCTGAGTTCCGGTGCGTGCCATTACATCCATGTTGATGCGAAAGCTGCGTTGCAAACGAGGGCACGCAGTGTTCGCAGCAGCACATAACTGGTTCAACGTGAGGGGTATTGCAGTATGTCGAGTCAACTAACTAAGAAACAATGATAGTCCCCCGCGTCGGCGCGGCACCGGCACAGCAGGACCATGCTCACTAGCTATCCAAGAATGTCCTACTTTGTTGAGTCGACGTCTTGCAACACTTCCGCCTGAAATCATTGAGACCGTGGTGCGGATGCCGCGCATGCGACATCGCTTGTGGTACCTTGTTCGCCGCGTCGCCGCATCGTGGAGATAGCGTTCCACACCCAGAGAAAGTACTTGGAGAACATATCTTCTACTGGCAGAGGGACTGGTGTGACTCAGGTTTATTCAAGAATCTAGAATAGCTTGATGTTAGGTTGAAGATGGTTTCCATCCTGAAATCTATGGTTTCATTTTACTTGTGAAGCAACTATTACACTTGTTTCACTCATTAGTGCGCTATTGGCAAAGCGTCAAAAGTAGGATTGTCAGAGAAGCTGTTCGCCTTGAAGGGGTCTTTGGCATTTTGGCTCGTTCCTTTCGTTGGAACATGTTATATAACAGGTCACACTTTGGCAGTACCTGTGAACTCCTGTGAAGCTGCGAAATTGGGCGAGTAAGCCGCTCTGGTCACAGGAGTTTACAGATCTTCACAAGGTGGACTGTGCAAGCTTGGCTGCGTACTATTTGGTGTCCCCA